AAAAAACTAGTCATTGTTGATACCAAATTACCAAGATTTTTACTTTGAGAGTATAACTATACATGCTACTTTAACTCTTTAAGGGTTGACCTCAAATTTAGGGAGATATGATGACTTAAATTACAATATACATCCATTTATTTTGTAATTTTTCAAGGAATGAAGTTCATTGTATGGCTTAAAACACATAATCCATGCCTATAAATTAAACATTTTAAACCTTAGTTCATAATATGAATAATTAAAATGTTTAATTATATATTAATACCTCAGCAGCTTCTACCAAGCGACCTTCATCTTTGTACAATATACCGCAGTGAGTAAGAGCACAAGCATTCTGTGGATCTAGCTTAATGGCTTCAGCAAAACTTTCAAAAGCAAGCCTTCCCATATTCTGCATCTGCAGGCATATCCCTTTTCCTATGTGAGCTTCTACATTTCCGCTTTCTTTCTCCAGGACAGTCTCATATAGAGCAAGAGCATCAACAAACTTGTTCCTTGATCTAAGAATATTTGCATAAGAGAGAGCATCCTTCCCTTCAAATGCCTTTTGCACCGGAGCAACAACTTTAGAGATACCTGTGCCAGTTAAAGGCTCTGGTTCCTTTAAGAAACCATTATCTCCAATGGGATCCCTGTCTCTCCCATTTATGTCTTTTTCCATCCTGGCCATTCACGTACGACTATGTAGTCTAAACTTTCTGCACAAATTTAACCAAAACAGCAAGCTTAAACCGCAGTATATGAATCCTGATGAAAGCATCATGGCACTCAACAGTAAAGTCTTATATATGAGCAATGGCAATCCACTATAACCTATTTAATTTATAAAATAAGTCCCTATTTTAAGATTTAAATACTTGATCATGCTCTCCACTGAATGATATTATTTCAAACTTGATCATGCAATCACAAGAATTAACCTCCGCAAATTCTCAACTCTATTAGTACTTTCTCCATGTTTTAATGGTTCGAAGCAAAATTTTGACACTAATCTCGCATTTGGATACAATAAAGTTGATTCAATAACAAACATTTTCGAAATGCCTCTGGAAAAATGGTTGATTGAACACCAAGTACAAATATAATCTAGGCAAAAAATTTCAACTTTGCTCCAAAGATAAAATCTTTCATGGTAGACAACAAATTATGAGCTTTTCTGATTGCTTGTTAGAATGCCAAATTGCCGGCAAATTTGGTTATGTTATCAACAAAAGCTTGAGAATAAAAATAAAATTTTGGAGTTCATTATAAGTAACAAGCTGGACACTTTATCTGACTCAAAGAGAAGAAACATAAACCCTAAATACAGCTCAAATGATCAAAGTACCGAGCTCATGTAAACAAACTACCAATTGATCACATTTAGTGAAGCTTAAAACCCTAATAATCTAAAGAAAATCGGCAATCCCATAACAGAACCCAACAAACCTCGGGATTGGCATCCCTAAAAACCAATTTTTCCAAAAAGATTAGGGTTTACAGAGCTAAATGCAACTCGATAAACCCAGAAAACAACACAAAACCAAAAAAGATTTAGGGATTTCGATACTTACTTGCGAAGCTAACAAACACCACAAAAACTAAACCACCATACCGCCGCCAAAGCTAATGCCAGACACTACCCAGGAAAAACCCACAAAGCAAAGCGGCAAAAAACCAAGAAGAAAGTAACTGTAGGTTTAAGAACGGACAAGAGTCATGAGGGTGATATTGAGTTTGCAGTAAAGGAACAAACTTTCAGGTGTAAAAGTGGAGAACGGGAAGAAGGGAGTTAAGAGGGGGCACCCTCTGCTGCTCCTCCGACAAGAAGGGGGGGAGTGGAGTTTCGATGTCTCCCAGACTCGGAGAGAGCCCCTGGTGTGTCCGCTCGTTAATTACGACATTTGGGGGGTAATAAGGGTTGGTGGACAAAGACAATGGGGTTGTGTTGTTAGCCCTGCGCTTTCACACTATTTGCCGCTCCTGCCCCTTGCCGTTAGCATCCAAGTTTCATTGGTCGCTGTCGGCATTCCCGTTTTTTTTCCTCGCCGAAATCAGAATCATAATGCTTTCGTTTTCTCGTCCACTTCCGTGGAAATCTTTAATTAAATTTATTTATTTCGTTTGACCTCCAAACAATTACTGCAGCACAACACCAGCAGCAAACAAAGAAGCATGTAAAAAGAGCACTACCATCATAGTAAATTCACAAAAAGAAACCATCACATATGTAGTAAGTATGCATGAAAACAGAAAGTGGCTAATAGATATGCAAGGAAATGCATGAGTAAAAGATGAGTGATGATTAAGTAAAGCCTAGTAGTTTAGAAAACAGCCTAAGAAAAACAGTTTTGAGGTTGTGTTTGGAATTGTTGTGAAATGCTGTGGCTGTGGCTTTTTCAGTATTTTACTAGAGGAAAAATTACATTATTGTTTGATAATTGCTTTGAAAAGAGTCTTAAAAATTAATATGACCACCAAATTATTCAAAACATCAATGAAAGTTTATTTAATTATAACAAATTAACACTTTTATGAGGTGTTGTATGAAAAAGCATTGTGGGAAAGCAATCCCAAACGCTACCTGAAATCATAAACCAAGTCAAACTATCAGCTAGTTTTAGCTATTCAGCCAGTTCTCATACAAAGAGCTCTATGACCACCTTTGAATTAGCCA